AGGCTTTAAGCTCTAGGTATCCCCTCATGAGGTGTGTAGGGGTTTATTTATTGAGTCTAGATTGTAAATAAGAATAAATCTGTACCACTCTTGATCGAACGACATCTGGATCAGATGACATTTGATGGACATCTGAGTGTCTTAATGATGTCATAATTAAGTAATATTGGGCTTGTTGGATTCATATTATTTAGATGCTCAATTTGATTATAGGTTTGCTAGATTTGGGATCCATTTAACCTTATAAATATGCTCTAAATGCTTCCAAATATGGTTTAATGGCTTGATGTGTGTTTGATTTGACTTAGATTGTATCAATTTTGGTGTTGTTGGGTCCATCTCATTGAGCTGGTTAGTTTGACAAAAAAATCATTGAAATTGGAGTTAATCAATGTTTGAACATATCTTGCTCAAAAGATTGCCTTGAGATCTGTGTCATGCTTCGTGATTTATGTTGAATGATGGTTTTTTTGATGACGTATCAATTGTTCTCCTATTTTTTGGTGAGACCAACTTTTACCGTCTGTAAATACCGAAATTTGGAGCACTTTATTTTTCTTGATATGTTTATTCACACACACACACACACACACACACACACACACACACACACACACACACACTCAAACACACATTTATATAAAAAATATAAACATTTATTTATTGTTTATGTATAAATAAATGTATGACAACTTCTAAAATAAATCACATATTTATACTTTGTGGATATAAACATATATTAAAACAACAAATCCATACATAATTATAAAAAATAAATGTATAAACTAAAAGACTTTTGTTTATGTCACGTATACCAGCAGCTGATGCAATATTTATAATTTTTTATTCACATAAATCTGATAATTTATTTATTAATTTGGGTATTAAATTTAACTTATCATTGGGAATATCATTTTTAATGATTTATAATAATATATTTGTAGTTAATTTCAGGCGGTAGTTTGATGCGATAGCAAATAATTCCTATGTATTTATAGTGATATGCATTTTTTATGACAAAAAAAGTTTGTTTTTTTTTATTTATGGTGGAAAGTTGTTTTTTTAACTTATGGCAAAAAAAAAAAACTCTTTTTGTACATGTATTGCGAGGATCCAATCATCAGATTGTGCAAAATTGGATGGCCGATGTATGCTGATGTAGGGACACATGGATTATGCTCTCTTTTAGGCACATTTTGAATTATTTTGAGTCTGTAAATAGACCAAGAAGAGAATGGAGGAGGACTCCCCTTAGCTATCTAGCGGAAAATCAATGTGATTTCTCAGAAAAAAAAAGTCGCATTGGCCTACTAGTGGACAATCAACATGATTTACTTTTGTGTTTCTGATATGCCGACATCTTGGGAATCTCGCCTTGCCGAAAATTAGAAGAACTGATACAATTTTGAGGAGGCGATGCCGACACTATTTGAAGAAGAGTTGACCCTTTTCTTGAGGGTATTCAAGACCAAGTTTTTAAAGATTAGCCACATTCTTGGTGAGTACAAGAAGGTAAATAACTCCCATGCAATAGATATATGGTCTTTGGATACAAGTTAGCAAAATTTTAGGATGCCTTATCCTCCATAATAGTTTTTCTCTTCCGAAAACATTGAGAACTGATGAACAGAGCACAAAAATATTGCAGGCTTTTCAAGTGAGGATGTTGACCAATAAAGAGAATAATAGAAGGATTTGATCTTTAAGAAGTTGTCTTTAATCTAGAAGCCCAAGCGATCTCACTTTTGGCTTGAGGGTAGCTCACTAGAGTGTATCCTGATGATAAGGGGGGAAGAAAAAGTGGAATGAAGTCTTTATTTCAACTGTTTCTTGCATCCTTATTGATGCTTTGTTGTATGTGTCAGGCTGATGTAATCATCAATTGGTAGTGTGTCTGTCTCTATGTTTTACTTGAAGCTTCTTCTTGACAAACGTAATATGTTATGTGAGAGGTCGAAGGAAATCCACCAAGAATATTTGACTAATTTGAGGCTATTAGTCAAAGTTTTGGCTTAATGATCGTGGCTTGTGATGGAAGAGGTCAAATAGATTCCCTCCGGGATCGATTAAGCCTAGACTAAAGTGTCATAGATACTCTGTTTTTCTCGAGACTGAGGCATAAATTACTATGGATCATACATTTTCTTGAAAATATGGTTACAACCATACTCATAAATGATGTTTGGAAGTTTGCTAGCTGTTGTATTTGAATTCTGTTGTTCCCTCACAAAGATATGTTTCATACGAGCATGTAAAGTAGCCTATGCATCAAACCTCAAAGAGATAAACTTCTTGATCAGTTGAGAAAGAACTCTAGTATGATTAAGGGGGTGGCTATAGAGAAAGTGCTCTTTACGGTGAAGGTTGCCCCTCAGTCTGGAAGTGGTTCTCATAAAATTGAGGTATGAATAAAATGTGGGATGACTGCCCTGCTATAGTTATGCAAGAGGCATTAACATGACTGACCTTTGGAGACTATAGTGAAGGCTTCCCTCATCCTGAAAGAAGTTTTCATAGAATTTGTGTCAAAAAATGATGTAAGAAGAGTACCCCACTACAATCGTGTCCGGGATGTTGACATGAACAAAATTTTAAGACTACAAAGGTTTCCTCAAATTGAAGAATAGTTTAGAAATGATATTCAAGATATGTAAAAGAGGTTCATTCACCAGTTGGGTGATGTAAATTGGGAGACGAAGTAGAGGTTCGACATCTCAAACTTGAAGATAGTGTCAAACAAGACTTCACTTTTTGTAGATAGTGCCAAAAGGATGTGTACCGGAAAGTCCATAGTGGCTAAGTCTTAAATTTAACATCTTAGTATTGCACGGAAACCAAACACATACTCTGATAGTTAAAAAGAAGTGGGAGAAAACACCTCAAATTTTATGTAAAAAACCATGAAAAGAAGAAAAACTCATGGGGACTAACCAGGTTGAAATAATACATTATGAGTTGGTGATTACATGTTCAACCTCTTGTACCATAGATGGTGAAGCGTTACAATGCATGTCTTTGGGGTTGACATGACATCCGAGATGATTTGTTGCTTCGTATGTTGCTCTATATGATGCTTTTTCACAAGGAGTGGGCAACGACAGATGGTGATTAGTGGTGGCCAATGAGTGGTGGTCGTCGGTGGTTGGCGGAGGTTTGCAATTGGACTGGGAGGAATTTGCCAAATTGTCGGTACATAAGTGATGTTGGACTTCAGCTCCTTCTTCACACCTCAATCCTCTTTAGTCTTCAAGCTCTAGGTCCCCACTCAAGATTTGGGTAGAGCTTTATTTATAATGTTTAGATTGGAAATATGGAAGGAATCCAGACCACTCTTGATTAGAGGCCCGGAGAGATCCAATTGATCGAACGTCATTTGATGGACATCTGAGTGTTTTAATGATGTTAGAATTGAGAAATTATTGACTTGGTTAATTCATTTTGTTGAGAAATTCAAATTGACTATAAGATTGTTTGATTCGAGATTCGTTTGAAAGTCCAAATATGCCCTGAAAGTTTCAAAAGTGGTTTAATGTTTGATCTGGACTTGATTTGACTAGGATTAGATCAATTTTGGTAACATTGAGTTCTACTATAAATTTGCTGAAATTGAAGTTCCGGAAGAATTTTAATCAATGTTTGAACAGTGCTCAAAAATAGCTCTGAGATCCGTGCCATACCTTAAGATTCATGTCGGGTGATGAATTTATTAATGAAGTATAGGTGTTATTTAGAAAGATCTACATACTTTTCACTCAATTCTTTAGTATTTTCTTATATCGAGCGCCTAAATTTCAATTTTTAACCATATACCTAACTTATCAATGCATAAAAAGACGGATCATGTTTTAAAATTTAATATTGATGTGTGCTAAAAAATTACGGCAATAGAGTAATGAATTATCATTTTAGCGTTGCACGAGAATTCAACACACAATTAGGTAAAAGAAGACAATCAATAATGATATCAAAAGTTTTTACATGGAAAACCCGTAAAGAAAAAAAATTACGAGCCTAACCCAGATGTAAAAATTCACTACAGGTGATGATTTTAAAGACCCCTTATCCCACATACAGGAAAAGATTATTAAGTTTTCTAAATTACAACGTCGACTGACGGCTTCCGGTCGGTGGTGATCGATGATGATTGGTGGTGATATAAAGTGGTCAGCGGTCGACAACGGTCGCTGGTGATTGACGACGACAACAGTGCTCTACGATTGTTTGTGGCTGTCGACGACGATCGACGGAGGTTGGCGGTGATCGACAGCAGTTGGAGGATGTCGACGGTGGTCGAAGACCGTCGGCAGTGGTCAACGTCGATCGGCGATGACAGGGGTAGTGTTGGACGTCATCTCTTTCTCAAAGCTTTATGTTCTCTCTCATGGAGGGGTAAGACTCTATTTATAGTATTCTGTGGGCAATTAATGCAGAAATATGAACCATTTTGATCAGACGGTCAAAAGAGCTTTCTTCGATCATACAAAATTTAATCGACATTATAGTACCTTAATGACCCCAAAATTGAGCAATGTTGTGCTCCTTGGTTTTGTCTTGTCGAGATACTCGATTCAACAATTTGTTTGCTAGATTCAACATTCGTTTAACCTTTTACATATGTTTGAGAAACTTTCAAGAGTGATTTAATGATTTGATTCTAATTGGACAAATTTTGGTAACATTAGGTTATTCTTGTCGAGCCAGTTAGTTTGACAGAATTCTGGATGAATTTTTATCGATGTTTGAATATTTCCTGCTCAAAAAGCTGTATTGAGATCTGTGTCATACCTCGAAATTCATGTCACATGATGAGCATTTGCATAGAGATGTATCAAATATAATATTATTTTTTATCTTATATTAACAATTTAGGTGGTATAAATATAAAATATAAAATTTAGGTGTTATAGCCCTAAACCCTAACCGCTAAACCCTAAACCGCTAAACCCTAAATATATATTCGCACATGTAAAGAAGTAGGCCTTGTGTAGCATGTATGTAAATGCCGCGCATGTAAAGAAGTAGGCCTTGTGTAGCATGTATGTAAATGCCCCAATATCTATTCAATTTTCGTTAAGAGGGAAAGCAACGCCGTTGGGTAACTTTGAGCCACGTTTGGCTAAGGACCGCATCCGCCAGCGCCACTTGCACGCCATGCAAGTGGGAAACCAGCTACAGAGCTCAAAATTTATGGTCGCCAGCCCCCCGATATCGGCTGTTGTAGGGATTAAAGGATTGTAGTTATCTAAATTTTCAATGTCTTTATCTCTTGCCCCCTCTTTTTGCATCAGAACGAGCCCCTTCTGCCAGAGGCGGTGTTGTCGTCGGTCTACGCTGTTTTATTTCCATGGTCATCTTTCAACACCCGAATCGATTCATCTTTTCAGTTTTGCTTTCTCAATTTCCTTTTTTTTTAATTATTTTTGTGAGCTTGAATGTCTTGCTTTAGAAGGAAGCAAAACTGGAATTTTGAAGAGGAGATTGTTTTCCAGAGGAATCGCCTTAACCGTGTTCTGCTCCTTGCTAAGCGAGAATTCCGTTGGAGGTTTTTTCCCTACTTCATTTACGTATTTATGTAAATAAATTGTTAGTGCATTCTACTGCTAGTCGGATAAGCTTATGTCCCCTTCACGGATAAGCTTATGTCACAGAATTTATCTAATTGAACGATGCAATAATGTTTCTAAGTATCCCAAACTCGGTGTTTGTTGACCTTCAATTCTCTGAAACCAATAGGTGTCGTTTATTTTTGTCCACTTCTGTGTTTTGTTAACTCTTATATAAACTATTGATATTGAATTGCATAGTGATCTAATTGTCAACTTGTTTTTTTCTATTGTTCTCGCTTGTATGCTTGGCAAAATGTTGTTTGTAAAGATACCACGACCATGCAGGAGGCCTAATGTTATTTATGCCTCTTTGTTATCTGCTTTCCTCAGACCATAAGATAGTTGTCATGTGGATGGAATTTTTCTTGCTAACATATAGATTCCATTAATGTTTGGTGAACACTTTTGGCTGCATATGAGGCCTCCCTTTTCAAGTTGAAATCCAAGTTGTACTTGTGGAAGCAAGGCACTAGGTCTAATCCATGTTTGAATCAATTCAACCAAAATTGGAGTAGGTTTAGGGTAGTCAATTAGGTTCTATTCATGACAGGAATCATGATCTAGATGATTTGGTCTTATAATTGCTTGACTTAATGAGAATCAAACTTGTTCTACTTGACTAATGGAGAACACAATCAAGGTCCATTCCACAACTACATAACTGTCTACACTCAGGTGATGCAAAGCTAATTTTATACACATTTATCCTAGTATCACTTGATCCAAGAATGTTATTGTAAAAGCTTATGGAATTGATATGATATTGTCATTCTTAAGATATTTTGAAGACTGAGTTTTATGCAAGATTCAAGAATCCAAGATAAAATTTTTTATGGGATTCAATTAAGAGTTATGCAAAATGATATCAAGAAATAAGATGCAAAAATGACCATGCAAGGTGATTCTTCAAAGTTCCAATTATGGTTCCTTTGCACTTTTTTTTTTTTGGGAACTCAGCATTGACGTCATGAAGCTCGTGGATTGATTTGAATTCTTACAAATTACACTAAGGGATAATTGGATGTGGGTAAACTTGTTGTTATCAAGATTATGCACATGAATACTTGGAGATTAGAGATATAGATTAATATGTATGTTTTCATGTATAAAAGCAATACATATCAAAATATGATGAATCCAATGCCCAAGAAAGCAAGATATATAAGAAGACTTAGAAAATAACATTTAAAAACATTCACTTTTAAATTTGCTAAAAATGTTATAAAATAATCATTAATTTTTATAATATCCAATAAGTTATTGTATAAATAAATTAGTAGAATGACGTATGGGTTAATTTTATATAATAACTATTTTAAAAAAATCAGATTGCGGACCTTCACAAACTTTTGTAACCATCTGCAAGATTGAGGGTCTGTAAAACTTTACGCTGCTTTACAAAAAAATAGAAACTTGTGGTCCTTTTTAAATGTCATGGCCTTAGCAATGATTTTGCTCCGTTATACTATACGGGTTTCTATGAAGTTTGATTTCTATTATGTTAGCTACTAATCATTTGAATATAAATTTTTGTTGGAAAGTATGGAGCTTTGAAGGTAATAGTTGATCGAAAAATATAGTATAAGTTTAATTTTGTTATTCTATTATGTTATTTGATTTTAGGTTAAGCCTTATACCCCGACATATACATGTATTTTTTATGATTTTGAGAGAATAAACCCTATTATGATATTCTTAGTGAAAGCCTAATTTTGTCTTTTTCTTTCTTGCAGCCACCAAGAGCATTCAAGTGAAAAAGTTTTCTTAACAATAAAGATAGACTTGTTAGGGAGAAAATTAATTGCTTGCACTTGATGATTATATTGATGTTTTAAAATTATGTCAAGCTTCATAGTTTCTTCACACTTGGCAAAATATGTGTAGAATCCATTTTTCATGGTTGGATTTTTATTTTGATTGTTGTTTGATGGTTATGCATGGTGTTTTGTTGAAGAACATGGATAAATGTTTTCCTTGCCATGAAGAAGGAATATTGTGATGTGGTCTTAATGTACAGGAAGTGGTCCTGAGATAGAGTTATATTTTAAAGGGCTTCTCCATTTATCATGGAGTGATTATTGTTTTAAGTGTTGGTTTTGCAAAAAATCTCAAGTTTATTCAATACATAGTTGGATATAGGCTCCAATCAAATCACGTAAAAATTATGTTAATGCATGTCATTTTACTATTGCATGTTTTACTTGTGGTTTATGATTGAGTTTATCTCATATTTGTAGCGTGTTTTATAAACTATGTTTTATCATAACGCTTGTAGTTAATTTTGCATTTCATTTTTTATCTAGTTTTATTTTCTAATCAAAATAATAAAATTGGTTTTATTTATTTATTTTTTAAAATTTCACATGTTTTATAGCCCAATTTATTTTCAGTTATTGGATTTTTAAAAACCTTAAATTGTTATCAGAGCGAGGGCTCAATAATTACTTGCTTCACATCCCTATAGTGTTCCATGAGGTTTAAACACTTAGTTGACAACAAAATGCCTTTAGATAGTAGCTAGAAAATTAATTGAGGGACATTTCACAGAATGTCCACCATTATTTGATGAAAATTCTTTTCAATTATGAAAAAAATAAAATGATGATGATTTTACATGTATGCAATGTGAGGATTTGACATTTTATACTACAAGGTTATAAAAGTCCTACAATGGTAAAGAAATTTCTAAGTTGATTGAGGATTGGACTTATTTTAAGCAAAAGTTTGTAGGATACCTAAATGGCACGGGAGTTAGTACTTTATATTGTACATTATAATATAATATGAATTTCTATAATCCGAGGATATGTAAATAGTTATGGATAAGTTATTCACATGAAGAAATCTGATGTTAGCATTTTGATGAGGAGTAAGAAATATTCAAAATGAAATCTTGTGAGAGCACCATAGAGATTTTTGGGTGATTCATTAAGGTTGTAAATGGATTGCATGCCCTTGATACATAATACTTTGACGCAAAGCAGATAAATAAGATTCTATAGTCCTTATCGGAAGAGTGAGACTCGAAGGTATTTACTATTTATGAAACATGAAATTTAAATTCTTATACATTAATCACTTGTATAGTTTTCTAATAACTCATGAATAGATCATGAATAGAATTCTTATCATCTTCAGAGAAAAGTAGATAATTGTAATGATAATAAAAGGAAATGTTGTAGCTCTCAAGTCGTTAGTTGAGATATGCACACAGTCTAAGGAGAATGACATGACATTATAAATTTGTTAGCTGAGAAGAAAATTAAAAAAAAAAAAGGCTCCTATAAAAACAAATATAAAAAAATACTTCAAATTTGTATTGCAAGTGACAAGAAAGAAGCCATGACATGTTTCAAACTGGACAAACCTACATATTTCAAGTTAAAATACCCTCTGCATAAGCATAAGAGTAAATTAAAGCAATTGGCTAAGGAAGCCAGGAATGAATTGAAAGTGAAAACATAAATTCAGGTGATGATAATGAGTTAGTTGAATAGTCTTATTGTTAGGGAAAGTAATAAATTTGAAAATTTATTAGGAAGCTTGAATGTTAGGGAACTTGATATCAGATAACCTAATTAGAGATGTAATTAGAGGATCTCTTTTCTATATTAGGGATATTCCTAATCTAGAGAATTGAGGGTGTGTATAAATATGTAATATAATGATAATAAAAGGAAATGTTGTAGCTCTTATGTCACTAGTTGAGATATGCACACAGTCTAAGGAGAATGACTGACATTATAAATTTGTCAGCTGAGAAGAAAATTAAAAAAAAAAGGCTCCTACAAAAACAAATATAAAAGGTTGGCATAAATTTAAAAAATTTACTTAAAATTTGTATTGCAAGTGACAAGAAAGAAGCCCTGACATGTTTCAAACTTGACAAACCTACATATTTCAAGTTAAAATACCCTCTGCATGAGCATAAGAGTAAATTAAAGCAATTGGCTAAGGAAGCCAAGAATGAATTGAAAGTGAAAACATAAATTCAGGTGATGATAATGAGTTAGTTGAATAGTCTTATTGTTAGGGAAAGTAATAAATTTGAAAATTTATTAGGAAGCTTGAATGTTAGGGAACTTGATATCAGATAACCTAATTAGAGGATCTCTTTTCTATATTATGGGTATTCCTAATCTAGAGAATTGAGGGTGTGTATAATATGTAATATATTTTTAATTGGGAATAAGAAAAAAGAGTTTTCCACTACATGGTATCCGAGACACACTAAATAATTCCCTTCTTCGAGTTTGTCGTTTGTTGTTTGTCGAAGAAGCTTGGATTGTCAAGATCGATAGACTTGATTTCACATCATCACCTAACAACATTATTTTTGTCTTCATCCAGTGTCTTCTGCATTCGTTTTCATCAACGGTGTCATCTACATTTGTGTCATCACCCAGCGACATCATCAGTGTCTTCATCCGCTTTGCCATGCCCATCGCTATGTGCTGACAGTGTCATCTACATCGCTCCTCATTTTTTGCATCCACTTCGTCATCTGCATCATTCTACATCATCTGTGTCTGCATCCGCATTGACAAGATTAGGGCATTGATGAAGCCCTAATCTACTTTGGCCGCTCTGTTTGCTTCAATCTATGTCATTTGCTTAGATTGATTCGTTGGCTTCTACATTCGGCTTCTTTGGCTTAGCCAAATTAATTTATCTTTTTGTCTCTCTCTGTGGATGTTGAGTTGTTCTTTGTCAATTTTTTTTTCTTCTGGTGTTTTGACCGGTACTTCAGCTCTTCCTTGATCACTAGATGACATCACTTATGGTTGGTGAACAAAAATATCTTGCGAAAAATTTGATCTCATAAGCAGCTAAGAATGAAGATAAAAAGTTAAATGACAAAATAAAACTGTGAGACTCTACCTAACAAGTATCTCTCAAGAGAGTCACCTCATTGGTAATCCCTCAACTGGGACAG